CTCTTTCTTTGATGTTAAAATCTCCAGCATTTAAATGCAATGCAGAACACCTTTCACATGCAGCAACTAAGATTACTTTCCACTTCTGGGATCCCTCCTTTTATCAAGATGCTGTGCTCCTTTGTGTGTGGCCTCATCAGCTAATTAACACTACTGATAAATGTTTGTGCAATAAATCCTTGAGAATATTTATATTTCTGTAAATTCAGCATAATCTCTGGAACTCTAGCAATGTCAAAGAGGTTAAATTCTGTGTTCAACTATATGAGGAAATCAATGAAGTGATGTGTGAAGTAAATATAAAGGATATGACTAACTTTTATCTACTCTGTTCCAATGTGTACTGGAGACAAAACAGGATCCCCTTAAACCACTCCCTTTAATGTCATACCTATTATTTGAGATTACATCCTGTTCCTTGAATCTCTTACAGAAAAGCTGCCAATTTTCAAGCGATGTTTACCTAATAAAGAGTGGCTTTAGATATGAGGTCTATCTGTCATATTTCATTCTGTGCAATCTCCTCAGATTAGATCTGTGGCTTTTTACTACAGTGTATTCATTGTCTTCATGCACGATACATCTTAGTGAATAAACTATTAAAGAGATGTTATGCATCCTATGTAGAAGAAAATTACTCTTCATCATAACGATGATAGAAAAATTAGACTGAAGATGTGATTCTCTTCTGGACTTTAGCACTCTTTCTCTGGCACTAAGTAAATTTGACTGCAACAAGGTATGAGCTGAAGAAATTAGAAGTGTTTGTGGGTAGCTAAAGGGGGACAAAGTTAGGTAACTATTTCATTGTTTCACCCAGATGTGAATGGAGGATTTCAGTATCTCTTGCCTGTGATAGGTGTGGGATTTTCTTCCTTATAAGTACTTATTTTTTAAAGGCAACTTACTGATGCAATACTGATTTTCATGGAGCCTCCAATAATTCCTGAATTGTCTTCAATATAGCGCACACACTTTTAGAAGAAGGCAGAGTATAATTAACATTTCAATAAGCTGGTTTATAGTCTTTTCTTTGGTGTACTTTGTATTATCTAGTATCTTTCCTAGAAGCAAATCCATCTTGGATTTCCTTTTTTGTGGATTTTTTTTCAGGTGCTTATTTAATATACTCATACAATTTTTCAGAGTGACAGATCTATTCAGGAAAACTACCTGTAGTTTTAAACACTGTTTTGTGTTTTAGTATTTCTGACCTGCAAGAAGTAGGTAGCAGGAGGACTGCCTGCATGCCTGCAATACATTTCTTCTTCAACAGGCAAGCTCCCACCTGCAGATAGTTGCTTCTCTGTTGGGTCACAGTGTTCTTGCCTATTTTTTTTTGGCACTACAACCTCATTTTGAAGTTTGAGGGGCAGTGGAGCTCACTTGTACTAAGCAGCTGTACCTACAGCTGTACCTACAGCTGCTGGCTGGGAGGCCAAAGAGACTGCCTTGAGACAGGGATCCCAGTCAAAAACCCGTGGAAAATCTGGTTTTGTAGTAGAAGTATAAAAGAAGGCACCTCAGTAATACTTCACCTGGAGGGAACTCAGAAACTATTAGCCTTGGAATAGTAAATGTTATTTCAGAAGCAGTGTATTTGGGGAGGAGATATATATATAGATATAGATGTGAGACCTATTTAATTAAGCTTTGGTTTTGCTATTTGGAAGGGTTGTTTATGTCCTGGCATGATAGTTCTTTATCTTTGATCCATCTGAAGTGGTATGTTAAAATGCAGTGATTTCTTTTCCTTGTAGATGGCTGTAGAATTTCTACATGAACTGGATGTTCCATTTTTCAAAGTAGGATCAGGAGATACAAACAATTTTCCATATTTGGAAAAGACTGCAAAGAAAGGTAATAATTTTCTTTTGAGCCGTCTTGGTAAACATCACTGTGTCTCAGTAGATCAGTTATTAGGTCTTTCCTCCAATTGATTTTGGAAAAATATCTAAACTACCTTTAGAAGAAAATCACCCTTAGACTTGGGAAAAAGAAAGGTTCACCCAGCTTCCTTTTCTAGTTTAACTGAATTAATTTACTTCAAGAATTTAATCTTGTGTAGCTTTCTTACAGGTCTAGGACAAAACGTGTATGTTTTCTAATGGCTAGGTCGCCCAATGGTGATTTCCAGTGGGATGCAGTCAATGAACACAATGCATCAGGTTTATCAGATTGTGAAGCCCATCAATCCAAACTTCTGCTTCCTGCAATGCACCAGTGCATACCCACTTCAGCCAGAGGATGTCAATCTCCGTGTTATATCGGTCAGTGAGTAACCCAGTGTGTGCCATGGGTAGGGTACCAGAGAAGGGCTATGCCCTTTTATTGAGGTATATTTCCGGATCTTAGGCATGCTGGAATTTGCTTCTGAGAATTTAGATGATGTATCATGTTTCTCTAATCCATACAAGTGTTGAAGTAAAAATATCCATTGGATCCTCTTTCAGCAGAACTCAGCTTTGAGAAATATGATAAAGGATACACCGGAGTATTCACAATTAAACAGAAGAAAATATGACATATGGTTAGCAGGTTAACCCTGTGTGTTGTAGTGCAAAGAAAAACTATGTAGACTGTTACCATTAAGAAGGTGCAGAGCATTGAGAATGTAATTTTAAATAGGGGGTTAGACCAGAAACTTCTTAAAAACACTTCACATGAATATCAGAGCAATGAAGAAAATGGATTCCTTTGCTGAAAATATTATTTGGATATGCCTACTAATGATGCAAGAAAATTTTCCCAAATTGGCCAGTATTCAGGCACTTGTCTAGCTTTATGCACATGTAGTACGTTATTTTTAGTAGAACATAGCTGCATTTAATTGCCTTTAGGATTGGGTGACTGTTCCCTATGTATGGCTGAAAGGATTGCTTCAGATTTTAAATACAGGGTTGAAGAAATCTGCTTTAGATACAGGTTAAACTGAACCAGTCCACTCGGTTCTTGGATGAAAATAGAGCACTACTCTACTACTGTAACCTACAGTGATGTGGGTTTTGAAGATCTTGAAGACTACAACTGAATTAGAAGGAAAATCCTAAGAGAAGTTGTAGAATAGAACATACCTTCTTTTCTTTGTTGGTATTGATCATCCTAGTGGAATTCTTAAAACATAACAGTGAGTAATGCAGTGTGACTTGTTGAATATAAAAAAAGTTAATTCTCAGTATAACCAACTGCTTGTTTTGTGGCACAGTAATTGTCCATTGTTTTTATTGCAGTTATCACTGTTAAATTTGCTTTGTCTTTGAAATTGCTACCGTGGTAATTCAGACCAACTCTGTCATGATTCAAGGCATATCAGTCAGCTTTTCCTGATATCCCCATTGGCTATTCGGGGCATGAAACTGGCATAGCCATTTCAGTGGCAGCTGTTGCTATGGGTGCTAAAGTAGTGGAACGCCATGTGACTCTCGACAAAACATGGAAAGGAAGTGACCACCAAGCATCGCTGGAGCCAAATGAACTGGCGGAATTAGTGAAAGCCATCCGTACTGTGGAAAAAGCAATGGGTTCACCAGTCAAACAACTCTTGCCCTGTGAAATGGCTTGCAATGAAAAGGTAACTTTTGCGTTTGATTAATGTATAGCTGAAACTCATTTAGACCTGTAGCTAATAATTCTATATTCAGAAAAATAACTTGCTAGTTGTTTATTGCAGTAGTGTTTCTGCCTCTGCACTCTAAACTTTCTGCTGCTAAGTAGCAGCATGCACAGTGTTTATGCTTAGCCCACTGTAACTTTAGTGTAGACCTGTCATTTTCTATAAACTGCTATTTATGCCAGTTGGTAACTGTTTTTACCAAAGTATTATGTTGGCAATTTTGAGTATAATGAAGTTCTATGTATATGATCCAGTGGTTAGCTAAGCTGAGTAGAATCATAGAATCATTTAGGTTGGAAGAGACCCTTAAGATCAAAGTCCAACCACTAAGCTAACACTGTCACGTCCACCACTAAACCACATCCTTAAGTGTGACGTCTACACATCTTGTAAATTCCTCCAGGGATGGTGACTCAACCACTTCCCTGGGCGGCCTGTTCCAGTTCTTGATAACCCTTTTCATGAAGGAATTTTTCCTAATATCCAATCTAAACCTCCCCTGGCACAACGTGAGACCTTTTCTTCTTGTCCTGTTGCTTGTTACTTGGGAGAAGAGACTGCCACCTCCCTCACTAGAACCTCCTTTCAGGTAGTTGTAGAGCAATAAGGTCTCCCCTCAGCCTCCTTTTCTCCAGGTTAAACAACCCCAGTTCCCTTAGTTGCTGCTCATAAGACTTGTTCTCTAGACACTTCACCAGCTTCATTGCTCTTCTTTGGACTCGCTCCAGCACCCTCATGTCTTTCTTGTAGCGAGGGGCCCAAAACTGAACACAGTATTTCAGGCGTGGCCTCACCAGTGCCAAGTATAAAGTACTTGGTAGGAATAATAGGTCTCTATGACTGTATACGAACTGCTTTTACACTGAGCTAGAATATTAGTCATTCTAATCAGATTCCCTACATTCTGAAAAATTCCAGTGAGCCATTAGCCAGTTTCAGAAAGGATCTGGATGGTCCTAGCAGCTTAGGTACAGTGAAGGTTTCCATGCTAACTCATCCTTCATTTGACTCATCCTTCATTTGGAATAAGAAGTAACAGGGAGGACAGTTCCATACAACTTGTTCCCAAGTAACTGCAGAATATTTTTTAGCCTTTTTTGGTATACTAATCCTAGGAATATGTTTGACTTAATTGCTTTTTTTTTTTTTTTTTTTTTTTTTAATTCCTCCTCTGTAGCTGGGAAAGTCTGTTGTGGCTAAAGTGACAATTCCTGAAGGTGCAGTACTGACACTTGACATGCTGACAGTAAAGGTGGGAGAGCCTAAGGGATTTCCCCCAGAAGCCATCTTTGATCTGGTGGGACAGAAAGTTAAAAAATGTATTGAAGAAGATGAAACCATCACTGAGCAAGCAGTGGAAAATCATGTCAAAAAAGTGAAGTGCTAAACCAAAGCACTTCATTCAATATTTCATGATGCAGTACTGCACTACTGCACAACATATTTAAGTATAGCAGCATGGTAGATTAGAAGAAAAAGGTGTAATTAGGATCCAAGCAGGTTAGAATTTTCAAGTTCTCATTAGCAGGAAGTTTCTGAAGTAAGTGGATATAAATTGTAAAGAGTAATTTTATTAAGAAACCATATAGCATTGTGTCTAGAAAATACCATGCTTCTCCTTTGTCCATTCCACTTAACCAAGACTAATTTGGAGTTTTGCAAAATCTAAGACCACAGTCTGCAGCTTTCCAGCTTCCCTTTTCTGGTATGAATACAGTACATCACAATAATTTTATCTACACTTTGAATTGTTCTAACACCGTATCTTCTGATGTTCCTCTCTCTTCTGCCATTTTCCTCACCCCTGTGGTAACAGGATGCTAGTCGGAGTTGAATACAGATAAGTGAAAGTTTACATACATTGAGCAGAAAACTACACATGCAACCTGATGGATTTTTCTCAAGATGAAAGCCTTAAAAAGTCTCAAGGTAAAGCAGTGGGTTGCAGGAATCTGCACTCGGGGGAAAATGAGCTCCTTGAGAAAGCTAGCATTTCAAGAGACAGTACCAAGAATGGAAGCAAATTGGCTATGTAGAAAGGTCCCACGTAACAGGCTAGAGGAGCCTTTTTGTACTTTTTGTGAACTGAAAGGCAAAAGGAGCAAGCCAAACAGAGTGAGGGGGAAGAATAGATCCAAGATGGATCAATGGAAATAAACTTAGCCTATGCTTCAAAAAAATGTCAAAAATGTTGAGCTGAGTGAATTTCGCAGGTAGGAAGGCAAATGCTGGCGAGGATCGAGCAGCCTCCTTCCTCTATTAACAAGCAAATACTTGTTTAAAAAGTTTTTTTCCCCCTGACACTAGTGTTTGAGGCAGCTGAGGCTGGCTGCCTGACTAGGTCACATCACTATGCTTCAGCATGATAGTCGGTGCTCCTCTTGTGTGCTCTGCTCTTGCATCACAGCTTTGCACTTTACAAGTAGGAAATGCAGTCCTACTCCTGTCAGACTGCTCTTCCCTTTATCCAGAAACTAGCCACATGGCAACAGCTGCAAACCTGGCATCCCTCAATTAGCTTGGTTAGTACTGAACTTCTTTGGTATAATTAATCTGCATTTTTCTGTGGTGGAATCATTAGTGATGTTTATTTGGAACTTGCTACCTCTCATGGTCATTAGTTAAAGTATCTTGAATTTGGTGGTGGTGCTTCTGTATCTGTGAGCTGTTTACTTTGAAACTGTTTGCCTTTCTGTAATTCTGAGGAAACTATTCATATCTTTAAATTGGAAAGCAAAGATTCTTTGAATCATGTGCTTGACCGTATGTGAGCTCTGATTGATGCAGTATGCTTGCCTTACATTAAACTACTCAATTGTTGAAAGATTTTTTTTTAGTTGCAAATTTGGAAAATAAATTTAGCTTATAAAACAAGCTATTGTTTCTGTGTTTCACCCTATGGTCAGACTTTGCCTTTGCCAGCACCAATGATGATTCCAGGACCTTTACTGTTTGAACACCATAAGATTACCTGACCTCCTTCAAGTAGCAGTGGCCTCCAGAAATTTCCAGGACTTTTAATTAATGTATGGGGAAAAAAAAAATCCCTATACAGAAACTTGCAAGCTGTCTTAGTTGTACATGAGCATACCTTTATCCAGCTGCAGTTAAAGAGCCTTTGCAAATAGGACACAAAATAAATTAAGTACAAGAGACCCACACCCACAGACAGGTGTTTTTATTGCACCTGTAGGTCCTCCAGGCATTTAATCTTCCATCGAGGGTGGTACACAACTGTTTCTCTTGCTTCCACTCTGTGTGGAAGCCCAGTTCAGAGTCTCTGTCACAAGTAAGACCAGCTAATGGCTACTAAGCATAGCTACAGAAGCTCCTACTTCAGGTTTACTTGAAGGGACCTTTCCCACAGTCAATGCCAGTCTCTGATTTTCCAAGATGATACTTAAGTATGAACTAATTTACTTAGTGCATTTATTATCAAAGTCTGACCTTGTCAACCATAACAATATGCAATATATGAACCTGAAGCTTGAAACAAGCTAAACCTATTACTATACACAACTGCAGCCTCTACAGGCAGATGAGGGGAAGGAGTTCATTAAAAAAAAAAAAAAGATGGCAATATCCAGGTTCAAATCTGAGTTGTAGTATTCTTTCAACCAGAGTTTTTCCATTTTGCAAGTTGAAAAAAGTACAAAACATACTACATATAGCACTTTACGTGGTACATCGACATCATTTATAAAAGTCAGATCACTTTGAAAAAATGAAATTCACCCCATTGAAAAAATGCATCTATATTAAAAATTACAGTTGGTTTTCTTTGACTTAACTGTTAACCTTCTAGAAGCAGCACAGTTACAACTTTCTTGTGACAGAGATTAATTCATGTAGATAATTGCTGAAGTGGCTTTCATAGAAAAAGCATGAAGTAGTAGGCTTTATTTTGCTTTGTTCCTTATGTTAGTTTGCATATTCCAATGGACCCTTCCCAGAGCCTCAAGGCTGGGTAAACTGGTTCTGTGAACTTGCAGCGGAAGGTGTGCAAATGAGCCATGCCATCAGTAACATTGTAGAATGAAAGGATTCCTGCTTCATAATCCAGAAAAATGCCAATGCGATCAGGTTCATCTTCTACCAGGATGGGGATTCTCTCCCCCTTGTGAAATGCCCAGTACTCAAAATCAAACTTCTTAAGGCACCAAGATGCTCTATTCCAGCCCAGTCGACAGGTTTCAGAGTCTCCTTTCCTGCCAATGGAAGGGTAGGCTGCACCAACCCACCACCCTACTCCAGCATGAAGCAGGTCAACTTCCCAGTAATGGCTCCCAGAGAGGAAAGCATCTCTGCTTAGCACCTGCCATAATTTATCAAACCTCTGGGGACCACAAGGGTAAAATAGCCTCCTCCAATTACAGCTTACTACAAGACGGTCGTCAGACAATTTCAGCCTTGGGTGAAGGCTGTCATATTCCCACGTTGGTGATCTTGCATCTGCAATCAAAACCATAAACATACTTACTACACTTCTAATGACTCTTGAAAGAAGTCCAAGTTATAAAAAAAATGGCAAAGGAGCCCATAGCTGGCAGTGTCTTGGAACCTGCAGTTTTGCAAGGAAAACCTGATATTTTTAATAGACAGCATTGCACTATTTGTATGCACTGATGCTTTAAAGTTGCATAGGCTTTAAAGGTCAGTAAAAGACAAATATGTAAGTCAGTATACGTATGGTTCACAAATGAGAAGATGAATACAACTAAGTAGAGAACAAACACCGAGAGCTGCTTTATGTGGAATAGTTGGAGACTTCTAGTGGGATTACAGCCTAAGGGTTTTAGAGAGCACTGGAGAGGAGTCTTGGGTTGTGAGATCCCATTCCACTGAAATCCCATTTGAAGATATCTGTTTCTCATAAAGGCACCACAGCTCTGAGCAGCAGCGTTGTGTGCATTGCAAAGGAACAACTTAGTAGCTCCCAGATGATTTACAGCAGTTCACCTAACCTGACAATCACACAGGACAGGTCAGAAAGCTACAGGATTTTTAAGATGAGATTTTTCTCTGAAGATACTCTCTGACAACTTCAGTGTTGAATTTCTGCATGTCTCACTAAAGTTTTCGTAATATGCTCTGTCTCAATAATTTACTGTGTTAGCATGTGTCTTCTGATTTCATGTTCTAGAAATAACTAAGATACTCCCTTTGAAAACAGGATCTGGCATCCTTAAAAAAATCCCCTTCACTCTTTCTGTCAAGCCTGATAAAACCAGTGTCAGAGTTGGGTACCTAAAAGAACATACATTATCATGAATTACAGTACTTTCTAGAGTACTAGTGATAAGATGTAAATGTAACTGGTATGTTACAACTATTCCAAACAATGGCACATTTATTTTTTCTTATAAGTGAAGAAAACAAAGTATAACAATACATCCAGACAAGAACTGAACAGCAATATACTTGTAATGAAAACTGGCTGAGTCATAGTTCACTCAATTCATAGCTGTTTTGACTGAATATCATTTTAATCTTAGTCTAGATAACTCTGAAGCTTAGATGTTTTAAATGCCAGATGACAAATATATTTAATATCCTGAAGCCGCTTTTCAGAGTGAGTCATTTCCTTTTTAAGTGAAAGTTAGGAAAACAAGTGTTTATAATATTTTAAAATCCAGACTGCTTTGATTTCTCTGCAGTGTTGCATATCTGAACTACATGTTTGGACCTGTGATCTCACAGATTGCAGTCTTGCACTGTGCTTTACAGGCAGCATAGTACTAAACGAACACAAAACAGGGGGCAACAGAACCATTCGATCAAGAACTTCAATTATTTTCCTTGCTCTTTGGTGTTGAGCTTAGAAATGAAAGGTAATTATACAGCAGGTTACTGTATGACAGAAGTCTGTCTTTGCAACTGAATTAATTTGTCGCTTATTTGACTTTGTTGCTATTTCCTCTCCTATGTTCTCACATAGAACCCTCTCCCATAAATATGTCTAACCTGGGCTAGCTGGCATATTCTACAGTCTAAAGCCCAGAAGTTGTTTTCATTCAGGTTGGAATCCTCCCCTCTGCCATCAGAGCAATGCATAAACCACTTCACTCCATTCTTTATTGATCTTCTGTTACTCTCCCCACAGCTTCCTGCCACAAGCAAGGAAGGCTAAGTAAGGTCTCCCACAATTCACTGTGAAAGAGCACTAGCACTGTCACCTATTACAGTGCTCACAATAGAGAACTGACATCTCGCATTGAGGGTCCATTCACTGCACAGTTAATTGCAATGAAGACTTACGCTCTATACTTGTCTGTAATGTTTTGGAAAAGAAAGTAGTACACATGCGTTATGATTATAAGATACAGCTGGACCCCACGTCTCCTCCTTGCCTTGCTGTGGCCCCTAACATCAGCTATGTTTAAAACACAGAAACCAGTGATGCACCATTATTGGTTGTTTTATACACAGAGTCTAACTGAATTATATATATCTGTTATATCTGAATTATATATATAATATCTGTATATTATATATACAGATCATCTTCATCTGTGCAGGATCACTGCGCACACCGGGGTACCAGAAATGAAGCAGTTGCTTCATTTGAGGCAAAGA